TTATGATGTGTCTACCTGTATGTTCTTTATATTCAACCTCTTGGGGTTCTGTTGATCTGTTCGTGGATCTGTTAGTTTAATGTCTTTCAACAAATTTGGAAAATTTCAAGTTACTAGTCTTCAGATATATTTTCTATTTCTGGCACTCTGGTTACATAGTGGTATAATTGAGAGCCTCTAATTGGTACAGTGGTACATGTATATAACCTATCTTTTTAAACAGTATATATGTCCTATGAATATATTTATGTACAGCTATTATGTGCCCAAAACACTTTAATAAGAGGGATGTGCGTTCGGGAGCGCTTGGAAATGACTGCTTTGGATGAAGCCCTGCAATCTCAGGGACACTTCATTTCTGTTGCTGTACACATTGACACATTCGCGCGCACACACACACATTAAGGCACAAGTAGCCATAAGAGTAAAACAAAATAAATTGGATTTCATTAAAATTAAAATTTTTTATGCCTCAAAGGATACTATTAAGAAAATGAAAAAAAGGAAATGAAGCCAGGTGTGGTGTTGCATCCTGTAATCCCAGCACCCTGGGAGACTGACACAAGAGAATCAAAAGTTCAAGCTCAGCTTGGGCAATTTAGCTACTTAGCAAGTCCTGATCTAAAGATAAGAAAAGGATTGGGTATATAGCTCAGTGCAGAGGCCCAGGGTTCAATCTCCAGTGCTGAAATTTAAAAAAAAAAAAAAGTGAGAAGACCACCCTCAATAAATAATAAATTTGCAAATTGTATATCTAGTAAGAGACTAGTATCCAGAGTATTACAAGGAATTCTTACAATGCAACAAGAAAAGCAACAAATTTTAAAATGGGCAAGTGATTTGAATGAGCATTTCTCCAAATATGACCAATAAGCACATCGTTAGTCATTAGGAATATAAATCAAAACCAATTAGGATGGCTTTTTTTTTTTAAGGCAGTAGTTGACAAAGATGTCAAAAAATTGGAACCCTTCATACATTGCTTATGGGAATGTAAAAATGCTGCGGCTGTTTTGGTAACCAGTTTGGCAGTTCCTTAAAATGTTAGCCATAGAATTACCTTATGTCTTGGGGATTTCACTGCTGGCAGTAGACCCAAAAGACTTGAAAACAGATGTTCAAAAACTTGTATGTAAAGAATTATTCACAGTTGCCAAGAGATGGAAACAGCCCTACTGTCCATGAAGTGGTGAATCTGTAAACATTATCCACATGGTAAAACGTTATTATTCAGCCATAAAGGGGAATAGAATACTGATGCCTGCTACAACAACAGATGAACCATGTCCACATTGCACTAAGAGATAGAAGCTAGTTACAAAAAATCCTATATTGTTTGATTTCATTTAGATGTCCAGCAAGTCCATAGAAATAAAAAGGTGTGGGCTGGGGATTTAGCTCAGTGATTTTGTCACCTGCTGCGCAAGCGCAAGGACCTGAGTTCAATCCCCGGTTCCAAAAAAAGAAAGAAAAAGGTGTATAGTGGCCAGGGATGGGAGTGAGGAAGAAGGAAGGAGTTATTATCGCTGATGGGTATAGAGTTTCTTTTGAGGATGATGAAAATATTCTGGAATTAGATGACTTTGTAACCTTGTGTATATATATTAAGAGCCACTAAGAATGAATTTTATAGTATATGACTTAAATCTTGATCTTTAAAAGAAGTATCCTGCATATTTGGCATCAAAGGAAATTAAAGGCTATTAAATTAGAGGCTCAATCATACTGATTGTTCTATTATTTTTAATGCAGTAAAATTAGGAAAGTATAACCAAAAAGTAGATTAAATAAAGCTTTTTTGAAAGCTAACATTGCTAAATAACTCCTAGGTAAAAAGAAAATCACTAAGGAAATTTAGAAATAACCAAATGAAAACATTGCATATTGAAAGTTTTGAGACATAGATAAAGGAACATTTAGAAGGAAGTAAATAACTTTAAAATATGTGCTAAGAAGAAAAGAAAGGGTAAAAATAAGCTGTGTTGGGGGCCGGGGATTTAGCTCAGTGGTGCCACCGTCTGCCTCACAAGCGCAAGGACCTGACTTCGATCCCTGGTACCGAAAAAAAAGCTGTGTGCATATGTATTTCCTGGCTCTGCTGCTGAAAGGGCTCTGATGTGGTTAACCCTGCCTTTATCCCCCATGGCATACCTAATGTTCATATACGGGTTTCCAAATACCATTGTCGAGTAAAAGGGAGCCGAGCTATATGGCAAAGTGATTGATTCCAGGGCCAAGACAGGAAAAATGCACAGTAAATCTGGTTCCAGACAGTAAGAAATTTCCAGAAGAGGCTTTCCATAGCTCTGTCTTTCTGAAGAATTCTAATAAAGCAGGATGGAGGAAAATTGGAAATCACCTGTCAAATAACAATTGTGGGCAAGACCCATCCATGGAGACAAAAACTGGAATGGGGTGAGGATAAGCAAGCTATTCATCCTCAAAGAACAAGTGTCTTCCTCAGTATACTTAATTACAAAAAGAATAATAGTGACCCACTGAGAAGAAATTCGGCAGACAGTATATGAGCACAATTAACCTCCCCAGTAATGAGACGTAGCACATCAACAACACACACCTCTGTCCTGACACACTGAGGACAGAGCGTCCCTTCTGTGAGAGTCTTGCCAAAAATGTGTAACTCAATCCAAGCATAAAAACGTCAAATCCCAGTTGTAAGACAGCTGCAAAATTATTGACCAATATTGTTCAGAAGGGGGCCGGGGATTTAGCTCAGTGGTTCTGCTGCCTGCCTCGCAAGTACAAGGTCCTGAGTTCAATCCCTGGTACCAAAAAAAAAAAATATATATATATATATATAGTTCAAAAGTCATGGTCATAAAAGTTAACCAAAGACCGAGGCGCTGTCACTAATGCAGTGTGGAGCCCTGTGTTGGACCCTGGACGGATAAAGAGCCTCAGTGGAAGGACCAGTGGAGTTGGACAAGGTCTACAGTTAATGGTATTACGCACTGTCAATTGCCCAGCTCTGTAGTATGTGACATCACCAAGGAAATGCAACAGATTTTTCAGTTTTTATTTTTATTTTTGTGTCTTTACAGCTAGCCTGGCCTTCAGAATAAGGGCCTTAATGTATAGGACCAGGGGTTCTACTCTTGAATTTGTATGTGAATGTAATCACAGACAGATCCTTGTGAGAGCATTTACAGGGACACTCGTTGCAGCATTCTTAGTGGTAGAAAGGCAGTGGAGGAAATCCAAGTGTGCAGTGCTATAGAGAAATTATTCTGATCGCTTCTCGGCCTTTTGGCTAAGATCAAGTGTAGAAATTATTCTGGTTACAACATTCAGCAGCAGAACACTTCTGATAGCAGATATGCGGGGGTTTTCACATGCACACAAACACGTGCACTTGTAAGTCTCCAGTGGACACCATCTGAAGGTCCTATTTGATTCATGCCTAACACACTGCCTACCTGGAAATAGTGTCGGATACCACAGGTTAAGGGCTGCCCTCTGCTTCAGATGCCAATCACAGGTAGTAGGTTGTCACCAATATTCCTGACCAGCTGTGAATTGAGGATTCCCAGACCACCTCTCAGGTTTGATTTAATTACTAGACCAGAACTCAGGGACACTCTTGTAAGTTTACCCATTTACTGTGAAATATATTTCAGAGGATACAGATGAACAGGCTGATGAAAAGATGAATAGGCCAGGGGCAAAGTGCTTCCGTGCTTTCTCTGGCTGTCTCCACATACCTCCATGTGTTCGGCAATCTGGAACCTCTGTGTCGGCCTTGCTGGGTTTTTACAGTGGCTTTATGATCATCGATGGGCATGATTGATTGTATCATTGGCCCTTGCTGTCCGCACTCAGCCTGCAGCCCCTCTCCCTTCCCTAGAGGTAAGGTGATAGAGCCTAAAGTTTCAGCCCTTTAAGTACATAATTGGCTTCCCTGGCAACCAGTCCTCATCCTGAGGCTACCCAGGAGCCCCAAGCTACCTGTCGTCTTATTAGAACAAAAGGTTCTTCTGTCATCCAGAAAATTCCAAAGGATTAGAGCTTTGTGGGGTCAAAGACCCAAGTAGTAGCAAAAGATTCTCCAAACACCCCAATCTTTGAGAATTTATGGAGCTCTGTATCAGAAACTGGGGTTGGAAACCAGCCTGTATTTATCTTACACTACCTGTTGCAACAGCTGAGAGCACCCCTGTCAGCCTGTCAACATGGGATTCCTGCTCTCCCTGACTGTGTCATAGACCCACTTGTATTATGTTAGGACCAGACATACCCCGTGAGGAGACCTGTAGCAATCTACCTACTGAATGCACACAATGTTAAATTTCCCCTTGTGGTTAAAATTTAAATGTAATTACAGGTTCTGATACGGTCTTCTTGCATCCCAGTTGACATCTTGCTCTTCTGGGAGTGTGTCCATGTCATTTTGAAGGTCCTTGGTCTCAAATACCTGTTTGAAGGAAATTATGTGTAATCCTAAAATACGAATTTTTTTTCTGGTACCAGCAATCGAACTCAGGACCTTGTGCTTGCCAGGCAGGCACGACTCCACTGAGCTAAATCCACAGCCTCTAAAATATAAATCTTAAGAATTTTATACATTTTATACCTATTCCATATATGTCTGTGGGTTTTTTGTTTGTTTTTGTTTTTTTGGTACTAGGGATCGAACTCGGGACCTTGCGCTTGTGAGGCAGGCAGCAGAACCACTGAGCTAAATCCCCAGCCCTATCTGTGTTTTTTAATATATAATTTTATTGCCACAAATCTTTGGGGAAATTACCATTCTGCTAATATAGGCTTTGAAAGACTTCCCTAGCATATATCCTGTCTGAAAACCAATTTCTTAAACTGATTTTATTGATCAGATATCTGATAGGTGCTTGGGAATGATATTTCCTTTTTTAAAAATACCAATAGTCTGGCTTTTATAGGATGGATTCCAATTTGAAATGTTCCGTTGTGAATTACTGTAATTATTTTATGACGCTCTGATTTTGTTTTCTTTAACTTTACAGAGACTGTGCAGTTGACCCGACTTGTGTTTTATGCATGGAGTGCTTTTTGGGAAGTATTCACAGAGACCATCGATACAGGGTTAGTAACTTCCAAATTATCACCATACACTGAATTGAATTTTATACTAAACGCCTTTGCTTTCTTTTTAAAACCCAAAGGTTTAACACTAAAATGAGAGTGATTTGAAAACTGTGTTCTTTGGAACTAGGGATATAGCTTAGTGGTAGAGTGCTTGCCTAGCACGCACCAGGCTGCGGGTTGTATCACCAGCACACACACCCCCAAGAAACACCATTAAACATGTGATGGCTTTACAGAATTAATAACCCACTCTTCTTGGAACACATAGTTCAAGAAAGAACACAGTCTTCAACTCTGCATTTGGTTTTCAACTAGTTTGTTTTGCTATTTTAAAGTATTTATTAAAGAAGTGGCATATACTGTACTGTAGTCTAGGAGAAGGGCCTACTCAGCACATAAGATCTACGTGTTTTATTACTGTATTTTGGGCAGATTATTCTTAGGTCTGTTCTGGCTCCTTTCTGGGAAAATGAAGAGTCAAAGTTAGGGGACAGTTGTCACCTAATCATAAAATAAAATGATAAATAATATTTCAGTCCTTTTCTTAATTCATGAACTCTGCTGAGTCAGGATTTTTTTCTCCTGTTTGTTTTTATTCACTGTATACAAGCATTGATAAAGTGAACTGAAACAGCTCCAAAATTTGGCTCTCTATATTTTTGTATGTAATCTTTATTCTCATAAATTAGTAAGAGAATCCCAGCCCAGTGTGGTGCCACGGGCCTGTAAACCCAGCACTTGGGAGGTTATGGCCTAATTATGAGTTCAAGGCACACCTGGACCACATAGCAAGACTCTGTCTTAAAGAAGGAGAAAAAAGTAACAATCCAGTTTCCTGTAAGAAAATCCTAGTTTCCTTTAAGTGGTTCTGTTGTTCAGGAATGGCAAGCACGTAACCCATAGGGTAGGGTTGTCATTGTCCAAATGGCTATCTGGTCCTGCTTCTTGGCATACACCTGTGCATTCCTGGGAGTAACTGAAATGCTGAGATTCCATTAATTATATCAGTATATGTGATACACAAATACTATTTTAGGCAAAATATAATAGTACTTATTCTAAAATTTGCTGTATCTAACACTCATTCGTAAACTCTTCCTCATAGTATTTTAAGAAAAGCAGAATTTCTAGACTACCACTTATTAGCTAATAGGTTCTGTCTTGCCAGATTTCTTGAAGCATTGCTGTATCTTAAGGAAGTAGGAATAATTCTTGAACCTCACTGGTGGTATAAAGTTTTTGTGACTAGACAATCTACTTTGTATTTCCTGAGCCTCTGTTATCTGTCCTGTCTAAGAGTAGCTTTTTAGGGAATGTTAGAGAAGAAACGTGAACTACTTCTACAGTCCCTGTTGGTTACTTTCTGTCCCCTTAATAGGCTGCTCTGTGGGACAGCAGCTAAAGGGGTCTTTACAACCTGAATCTGTCATAGCATCACCATCTGCTAGCTGGGCAGCAGCATTATCCCAGCATAGCCAAACCTGTCAGGAGCCCTCCTGAGCCTCTGACTTTCCTAATTATGGGAGCCACGTACTAGACAAATCCTCTTTAAAATCCCTGTAGTTTACTCAGCACCACCAAGTAGCTTGTTTTGAAATCACTTACATTAACCTGTGACTTCTTTAAAATGAACTTTAAAACATTAAGAAGCTTGGCATTTTACTTAATCCCTCCAGAAGAGTTTAATACTTGAGGAGTGTTACTTCCTCAGCGCATGGTGTACTTTTCATTTGTTATCTGACAGTCCCAGTAAGCACTTACTGACGAGGTACTTAACAATCTTGTTTCAAGATGACGACTTCAGGAGGTGGCGGTTTCTGTGACTGTGGTGACACCGAAGCATGGAAAGAGGGTCCTTACTGTCAAAAACATGAACTTAACACCTCTGAAATTGAAGAAGAGGAGGTAAAAGCATTTTCACAAAGTTGAAATAGTAGAAGGAAAAGCTGTTTTCATGATGAGTTTTAAGAATTTTAAGAAATTGAAATTCCATTATGTGTGAAATGGTTAAGCACACAGTCCTATTAATAGTAACTAAGTACTGGGCTAGGGATTTAACTCAGTAGTTCTGACGCCTACCTCGAGAGCACAAGGTCCCAAGTTTGATCCCCGGTACCAGAAAACCCCAGTAACTAATTACTTTGAAAGTTCTTTGTGTTTTGTGGCTGCTGTACCATTGTGAGTGGTATGCTTTTGAAATTCTAAAATTTTAATTCAAACAGTTTTCTTGGTTGGGATTTTAAGCATTTTTGAAGACTTTTATTAAGCCCTAATTTACTACTGAAAAGATTTTTTTTAATTATTAGTTTTTGTGTATTTGTGTTGTAAATAAGACTTTGTAAGCCAGGATAACTTTCTTTTTTATTACTCTGCATGACACCAGCCCTAATCATCTAGGAAATCAGAACCTTGGGTTTGTGACGGGAGCGGGTATGGAGAGGATAGCTCAGTACACATTAGCCCTACACCTGTAAATCATTTTTTAAAAATCGTTCCATTTGGACTGTTTTTTTCTAAATATTTGTAATGAAATAATGTCCTCTCACTAAATGCTTGAATCTCTGCTTTTTATGACAATTTGATGTGTGAGTCAAGATCTTTATTTCAGGTTTTACTACTTTTCATTGTCAGGGAGATAGGTACATTAGAGTACTCAGAAAGCCTGACATAGATTTGGGACAAGTAGACAAAAATAGTCCTTCCTGGTGCACATACCCTGTGGGTCTCAAATATTTTAAGACAATGACCAAGGCTTTTGGTGTCAGATGATGTCTCTTAGATAGATCAGGATTTGTACGAAATTATTCAGTGCTGTGGAAAACATAAGTTTGGTCTGTGTTTCATCTGTTTCGTGCAAGCATTCTGGAATTTGTTCCAGGAAGAAATGGTCAGGGTTCCAGATTTCCCCACCTCTCTTAGAGTAGCTCCATTTTTTAAAAACTGTATTTGATTGGAACTCTGTATGTAGAACTACAAGACAAATTAACGTAATGTGTCCAAAACCATTAAATTTTTATTAACCCTGATTTTCATAATTCCTCAGTCCCTGCATGTTTTGCATCGCGGGGTGTAAGTGTAAGAAAGCGAATGACCGTATGGTGAGGCACTGTCCCTAAGAAAGCTGAGTTTGGGTTCTGTTTTCTGTTTTGTTGTACTGTCAAGCTCATGTTATTATTAATACCTACTCTTTTTTTAAGTCCTTATGGGGTTGCAGCTCTGGTTCTCACTGTGCACAAGTGCTTTCACTATGTTAATGACTTCCAGAGCTGTTGTCACAAATAATGAAGCGGGGTGGGGGGGACACAAAAAACTTCACATGTTAAGCAGCCTGTGTGAGAAGAGTTACAGGGAAAATGGCTGTAGGAATCTGAAAATCTGCTTCTCACTGAATAGACTTTCTTTGAGCCTTAGATCCATCTCCTTTAGAATTTTTGTCCTTTTTTCCTTCCACCTTCTTCATTTGTCAGTTTACCTAGATTTATCTTGGGTATTTAAAAATATTTTTTGTATGTGCGTACATGTATGTGTATGTACTGTATTTAGAAGAATATGCTGGTTACTAGTCCTGTGGTATGGGAACCTGCTGCTTTTCTAATTTGAGAAATGAATATAATGCTAGGTAGCCATTAAGCTAAATTAAGTGTTTAGAGTTAAGATAAGGCATTAAGGTTAAAGTTATATGAAACATTTTTGCCAGCCTTAACTGAAAGATACCATCTGAAAACATGAAAGACACATAAATGAAAAAACACCATGTATGTTTAAAGTAATATGTTTTTATATTAACCTAGAACTTTGGTGATTTATTTGCCATTAAGCCTCCTGTCCAAACTTCCTGTTAACATCTCATCCTGCAGACAGAAGTACACCATTGAGTAGTTCTTATAAAATCAAAGAGCAGTTTTTTTGGCTTTGATGAGTTCTCCTCTTTCAAAGTGTCAAAATCAAGCTCTCCTTTAGACCTAATATTATATGTCCATCCTTAGCAAGTATTCTTTTTTTATTCTGCAAATTGGAGGTTAGGAGTTAAAACTGGAAAGATGGTTTGATTTGAGATTTTAGCCTGGAAAGCCACTCCAGAATGTTTGAATTTATTCATTAAGCATTGGAGTTCCATTGAATATTTTGATTCAGTTGATTGAAAATTGGAGATATTCTTTTTTTTTTTTGGAGATATTCTGAACAAAACATTTTAAGAAGTTTGATTAATAGGTTGAAAAGTATAGGACTAAATTCATTGAGGAAAAGTTGAAGGTGGACAGCGTGGCAGCTTCTTCTGTAGTATTTTGAGAGGTAGAGACAGAACGGGAAAGGAGAGAATTAATGTGTATTTAACATGGTTTCACTTTTCCCCTTGTTCTTTCATTCAGGACCCACTTGTGCGTTTATCTGAAGATGTGATAGCAAGAACTTACAACATTTTTGCTATTATGTTTCGGTACGCAGTAGAGATACTAACCTGGGAGAAAGAAAATGAATTGCCAGCAGATTTGAAGATGGTGTAAGTGTAGCCCATTTAGTCTTTGTATAAGAGGACTGCTAAATTATAACTTTCATACAGCAGTGATAGGACCTAAGTTGTTTGGTTTTGTTTTTTAAGGATTGGGTTTTAGGATAACAATGTTACAACTTTTGAATATGTGTGATCCACTTAACTGGTGAAAGTTTCTCTACATTAGTTGGTTAGTTGGCTTGTAGCCATATTTAAACTAAACTGGTTTTAGGCATAAACAGTTTTCTCTTTTCTGATTATATGAAAAACTGATAAGTGACTCTGCAGCTCTTTTTGTTTCCTTTATATGTCAGAGAATGAACTCTTTCTGAATAAATACTCAAACTCATTTTTAACCATTTTGATTTTAATTATACAACGTTCCATATTTTGTGCTTTTTTTTAGTGTACATGTGCCATTTTTATTTAGATTATTGAGGTCATAGACTTGTTATCAGAGAGCGGGAATCTGCCATGGTTTAGGGAAGGGGTTGCTTTTCCTTGATAATGGACTTGCCCCAAATAACCTTCTCTTTTACTAAAAACTGAAGCCAAGCCAAACTTGTTGGCATTATATTCTTAAAGATGAATTAAGACGCCAGTGAAAAATTGAAGGACATTGATAATGTTTCTTTTTGTTTATTCAGCATGTTCCAGATAATTGAGATTGTGGATGAAGTGATTTTCAATACAAGTTTTGAGGGATTCCTGAACTCTGCTTTTTTGGAAATGTTGAAAATTACCTAGTATCTCATAATTTTATCTTCATAAAATTCAGATTGGATTTCTTTAATCTAAAATCTGATTTTAAAGCCTAAAAAAATATCTGGCTCTCTGGTAACAAGTTTATAACCTCAATAGTTAAATAAAAATGGCAGGTGTATACCAAAAAAGCACAGAAGGGAGATCTGACTTGCTTCCCTTCTAATGTTTCTACCTCAGTCTACCCAGAAACCTTGTGCCCCGTGCTTCTCCCTTAGGGTTCTGCTTCTGCTCCTCTCCATATTTACAACACTTGGAGGCCATAGCCACTCTTGCCCTATACAGTTCACTCTCTGTACTAAGGCAAACGTGATCATATTTTCTGTTTCAGATCTTGCATGCTATCCATGATTTCACCTCTCTCCAGAGCAGACTGATCTGCTCATCTCCCCGTCCTTCCTTGTGCTCCAGCTCCGCCATCAACCCTACCACCTCTGTGCTTTTGCTTTAGCCTTCCCTTACCCAAGGGTCGCTCAACTTTGGCACCATTGGCATTTGGGGCCAGATGAATTATTTGTCCTGGGAACTGTCTGGTCAATTGCAGGACATTTAGCATCATTCCTCGCCTCTACCCGCTAGGTGCCTGTAGCACCCCTGAGCCCTGTAACGACAAACAGAAATGTCTCCAGGCATTGTGGGATGGTCACCTGCGGGAGATGGAGGGAAGTTGCCTCAGTTGAGACCCAGTGATGCCACATCTGACTTCAACTCTCAGATTATTTCTCCAGTTCTTACCTAAACTCCAGACCTCAGATACCCTGCTCTAGGCACCCTGCTGTTTTTAAGAAGAGCCAGTGCAGTTGGAGTTCTTTGTGCATATCTGTTTTCCCTACTAGAGTATAATTGTAATGTCGTAGAGTGTAGAGACCCAGATGACTTCTTCACCAATCCCTAGCACATTCTATAGGGCAAAGTATTCTCTTAGTAAAGTGAGCCTCCCCAATGATGAATGTCATCATACTGTATACCTAAAATGGACCAATAAACTTAATGAATCTAATTAAATAAACAAAATGAGCCTGGAGCAAGATAATGGAGAAATGGATCACCCAATGCATCATTCATGTTTGATCCCACAGAGAGAAGAGCGACACTTACTATTGCATGTTGTTTAATGATGAGGTTCACACCTATGAACAAGTTATTTATACTCTTCAGAAAGCTGTGAACTGTACACAAAAGGAAGCCATTGGTTTTGCAACTACAGTAGATCGGGATGTAAGTAATTTCATCACGTTACTATAATAAATTAAACTTTCACTACAGATAAGTTACCCCAGAAAAATTGAGTTAAAGGTGTATGACTGTCTAGACCAGTGGTGGCGAACCTGCGGCACACATGCTGCAGTGAGCTGTTTGTATCATTGAAAGCTCTAAAAGGTTTGCCATCCCTGGAGATTGTTCTTTTAAATTTCATTTGAATATTGGCCCAAATATGTATTTGTATAATTTAAGCGGTTGACAAATAAAAGTTTAAAATTCACTCTACTCCATGATTAAAAATACTCATCTATGGAAGAGAAAATTGTAGAAACCTAGTAGAATAATTGTTGTTTAGTTTGAAGAAATATACTTATGAATAGCTTTAGAGTTAAGATACTTTTGAAGAAAAGTTTTAATTTACTTTTCATTGACGTATAGGATGAGTGTTGTAAATATTAGAAATTGACGGGGCCAGGGATTTAGCTCAGTGGTTTCGCTGCCTGCTGCGCAAGCGCAAGGACCCGAGTTCAACCCCCGGTACCAAAAAAATTAAAAAAAAGAAATTGAGGAACATTGTTGTATGTTCGAGAGTTTATTTACCCTAATATTGAATGTGCTATCTTTACAAGGTAACTTTAGGTATCTTTATCCACAGGGACGTAGATCTGTTCGGTATGGAGACTTCCAGTATTGTGAACAAGCAAAATCAGTGATTGTGGTAAGTAATTTTAAAACATGCTAATAATATCATTTTATTAGCTTAAGGGTAGCTCCGTATTTCAGCATTTATAAACGTGTTTTTATACTTTCATTAATAAAAAGCCAGTGTCAACTAAAAATTATGGGTTTTTTTTGCTTTGGGGGGTTTTTTGTTTTTTGAAACAGGTCTCACTATGTAGTTCAGGCTGGCCTGAACTCGTGGTGATCCTCCTGCCCCAGCCTCCCAAGTGCTGGAATACAGGAGTGTCACCACACCCAGCTAAAAATTATGTTTTTAAAAATAAAGTTTCTTGAACATTGTTACTTTAAAGTTACTTTAGTTCTTTTAAGCTATGTAAGACTAATAGAAAATGAATATTTAGATAAAGATGTATTTTTTTTATCCTATTTCTTTTATCAGAGAAGTCTCTGAAAAGCTTTCTGTTTTGTTTCTAATTAGTAAGTTTTCACTGTACCTTTTAGGAATTAAATTGACCGTTAGCACCAAGGTTAGAGTCCAAGGAAAGATGTTTCTTGGTACATTATAGCAAGCTATACTCTATTCTAACAGTGTATTATTTTTGTGGGTTTTTTGTTTTTTTTATTTTTTTAATTTTTTTGGCACTGGGGATCGAACTCAGGCGCTTGCGAGGCAGGTGGCAGAACCACTGAGCTAAATCCCTGGCCCTAATGTATTATTTTTCTAAAAGAAAACAATTTCCCACTTTTAGAATTATTTTTTAAAGTTTTTAAGCTATACCCTGTAAGTTGCATTTTATATAATTTTTCTTTTTAAAACTAATTTTACATATTATAAAATAATTTTAAATACACTGACAATAATAAAAATAACATGAACACCTATGGGCCCACACTGTGTCTTATTTTTGTCCCACTCATTTTATTTATTTTATTTTATTTATTTATTTATTTTTTTGGTACAGGGGATGGAACTCGGGTCCTTGCACTTGGCGAGGCAGCTGCTGGAATCACTGAGCTAAATCCCTGGCCCTTGTCCCACTCATTTTAAATAAATAAATGAATATAAATGCATGCCTTTATATTTTGTATGTTAAATGCTACCAACATTATACTGATGTGGAGGCCTTTAAGCATCATATAAAGCCAAGCAGGGGAGTACACTCCTGTAGCACCCTCATAGGCTGAGGCAGGAAGAACACAGATTCACCCCTAACCTGGGCTACGTAGTGACTTACTTGAGACCCTGTCTCAAAATTAAAAAATAAGGGCTAGGGATGTTAACTTTTTGTATGAATCCTGTGATTCCACCTAAAAAATTAGAATCTGGATCAAGTAAGACAAAGTAGTGTTTTTCTTACCCACATACACAAAATACTCGAGTGATGATATGGTGTTAACTTCTTATGTGGTGTTAACTTTTTGTGCCAATAAAATAGCCTTTTTAAGTTATTTTTTTCATCTTGTCATTTCTTTTTAAGAGAAATACCAGTAGACAGACAAAGCCACTCAAAGTTCAAGTTATGCATTCATCTCTTGTTGCACATCAGAATTTTGGTCTGAAGCTTTTGTCTTGGCTGGGAAGTATCATTGGATATTCAGGTAGGTTCATCACTAACTGATAAGAGAACTCTTAGGCCCTTGGAAAACTGTTTCTGCCAAAAATAGCAAGTGGAGCCGGGGATGTAGCTCAGTGGTGCCGCTGCCTGCCTTACAAGCACAAGGTCCTGAGTTCGATCTCCAATACCAAAAAAAAAATAAATCAAGTGGAATATCTTCCTTTAATTTCACATGTTAAAATAATATCCCAGAATATCTTTCCATACAGAAAATCTTTATTTACCTTATTTTGACCCACAGGATTTTTAATAAACACCCAAAGGATTCTGTGTTCAAGTAATGCAGGGAACATTGGGTTAAACTCTTATAAACAACTTTAATATGCTAATACAATATACATTTCAGTAACTTAATAAAAGAATTTTTCAACGCCAGGTGTGGTGGCACATGACCATAATCCCAGCACTGAGGTAGCTGAGGCAGGAGGATCACCACAGGTTGAGGCCAACCTGGGCTCCAGAGTGAGTTCAAGACCAGCCTGAACCACAAAGCAAGACCCTGTCTCAAAAAAATTTAAAAAGATTTTTTTAAATGGTGCATCCTATGGACCTTTTCACAAAGTGTGCTAGAAAACACTATTGTAAATAAAACTTAATGATAATCAGTTGGAATGATAAAATACTAATGTTACTATCTTTGATTCCTCTAACTTTTGGCCACCAATAATTTGCAACTCTGAAAATTTGCAGATTGGAAGTTACTGATCTATATTTGTTTGTTTGCTTGCTTGCTTTTCCGCAGTCTGCAAATAAGATAATTTATAATACAGTGGTAGGATAATTATGAACTCTTTGTCCAGAATAAAAAAATACACATTTGATGTATAACACTAAAGGGTAAATTAGGAGTAGCACTAAGCTATCTTGTCATACTGTTCTTCAGGGAAGACTATAGAGAACTGATAATTCCAGTGTTATTATAAAGACTATTTCTAAAACATTCGTATCAAAGGCTGTTAGAATGAACATTCCAGTACTGAACTGAAAATACAAAAGTGTGGAAGTTTAAGGTAACATATTTGCTTGTTGTTCAAATATCTTTCAGATTTTTTTTTTAGCTCCACATTCTTTAGTTTTGGTTTTCCCCTTGGGTGCCTTTGTGCCAACTACTGTACTATAGTGTTAATGGATAGTAACCATGAAAATAATTTTCTGATGAATGTTTTCCTAGAGATGTTTATTTTCAGTAATTTAAATATGTATTTAAAGTTTTCAGCCTTTAAAATGATTTGTGACAGCTTTTAGAATTAAATTCAAAAGTGGACTCCAGGGCTGGGGATCTTGCTCTGTGGCAGGGTACTCGCCTAGCACAAGGCCCAGGGTTCTAGCCTCAGTACCACCTCCCCCCCTACCCCCCCCAAAAATAAGTTAATCCATTTTGTAATTATTTTGCATGCCTGAAGAAGACTAAAACCAGCAATTTAAATTATAAAGTGTGGATCAAAAAGATGTTAACATTTTTGGTTATTTGGTGTTGATATTTGAAGAAGTTTTCTAAACTGTAGCACGTAGAAGATAGAGGAATTTGTCTTCTAGGCCCTCTCTCCTAGCAGATTTACAGTGATTCTTTTGTTTAATAAGTGAATAACATTTTGTATAGCATTAGTGACGTATACTGGTGTATCTTATAGTACATGAGTCATGCATGCTTTCTTTTAAATGGTAACACAATTTTATATTATACCAAACTTCAGTTATCATAGAGCATATAAAAGCTTTACTGTAAGCTGATTTAATTAGCATGAGCAGGGCCGGGGATTTAGCTCAGTGGTTTTGCCGCCTGCTGCGCAAGTGCAAGGACCTGAGTTCGATCCCTGGTACCAAAAAATAAAATAAAATAATTAGCATAAGCGCTTAAAAACATTATTTATTTCAGTATTTTGGGGATTTTTTTCTCTTTAAACTCATTGCAACGTAAGAGGGCATTTCTTTTCTGATAGGCATTTATTTCAACATTCCGGATTAAGAATTGTGTATAACCACACCTGCCTTGTAAGTGCAAGGTCCTGAGTTCGATCTCTGGTACCCCCCCCAAAAAAAGAATTGTGTGATATGAGATCTTGAATTTTTCTCCCTTCTTCCAACATAGTAATAAAATACTTAATGTATTAACCTTTTCTGAGTAAATTTGACCTTTAAACTCATCGTGCAAGATGGCGCATACCTATAATCCCAGCTACTCAAGAGGCTGAGGAAGGGGGATCCCAAGTTCATGGCTAGCCTGAGCAACTTAGCAAGGCTCCTCTCAAAGCAAATTAAAAGGGTCAGGGGTGTAGCTCAGGAGGAGAACTGCTTGCCCAGCACGCATGAGCCCAGCTTGTGATCCCCAGCACCAAAGACAGACAGAATCCCTTGGAAAACTCTCTAGATACATTTGGACATAAACTAAATATCACTTTGTTTTAATATTTGAAGTTGCTACCTCATGACTACTCTTCTTCCTGTTTAAAGATGGTCTTCGTCGGATTTTGTGTCAAGTTGGATTACAAGAAGGGCCAGATGGTGAAAACTCTTCTCTGGTGGATAGATTGATGCTTAGTGATTCTAAATTATGGAAAGGTAAATCCCTTAACTTTTTTAAGGGTTGGCATATTAAAGCTTTTTTCATTTGGGAAGATATTTAACAATATATTTATGCTTTTTAAAATTAGCATTGCAAGGCTAAAAATACAGCTCAGTGGTCAAGTGTGTGCTTAACATGTGTGAGGCCCTAGAGTCACTCCCCAGCACCAAAAAAACCAAACAAACAAAAGAAGCATTATAATCAGTCTTTGAAAATACAGATTTTTTCTAGCCTATGACCCAAGTTAAACAGCCTTTAAATTTTGATAGAAAATTATATTTAGAAAACCTGACTTTATAAATAACCAGATTACAAATATTTTTATGCTAAGAAAAACATATAGTTTAACTTTTTTTTTTTAATAGTTTTACTCTTAGGGGCCGGGGATTTAGCTCAGTGGTTTCACTGCCTGCCTTGCAAGCACAAGGACCCGAGTTTGATCCCCAGTACCCAAAAAGGAAAAAAAAAATAGTTTTACTCTTGAGGCTTTAAAATACAGTTGATCACATAGAAATGTTGGAAATACAGTTTTTGACGTAGCCTTAGCATAACACCCTGATCTTTTTCTAAAGGGGCTAGGAGTGTATATCATCAGTTGTTCATGAGCAGCCTCCTTATGGACTTGAAATACAAGAAACTATTTGCTGTCCGATTTGCCAAAGTAAGTGTTTTCTCAGTTTTTAAAGGTCAACAGAATAACTATATCCCATGATTATAACCAGACTCTAGAAAATTAGCACATAATAGAAACATGTCAGTGTATCAGTAGGATAAATATACAGCAGGGAGATTTCTTATTCCTTTCCTCCCATGATGACATAAATATCCATCTTTGCAGGATTTATGCTGTGCAATAAGTGAAGAATTAAGCCGTTGTGTATTATGGCATTGCTCCTATTACAGTTCATGCAAGGAGACAATCTTAGGTGACACAACATACGTACATGGATATGGTTTAAGAACTCTGGGTAGTTGATACGTATAGAATTAAGTTCTCCTTTTCAGCAGCATATGATTAAAGTAGCTTTTTTTTTTTCTTTTTAGTGAATTCACAGTTCTTAAGGCAATGCGTAAGAATCATTTAGATAGCTCTGTCAGGACTCATGTGTTGGTCCTCCGTTCCCAGCTCTGCTAAGCGGGATCTAAGTGCGTGTGCACTGCAGGCATCTCTCATGCATCCGGAAGTGTGGCAGTCTGGTTTCATGAGAGACTGTGGAGTGTAGCTCTTGTCAGCCCCTGATGCACGGTGGCACCCAGGTCCTGAGTAGCAGTTGCTCCCCATTTGGGCTAGTGGCATGCCATTGTACTCTGAAAGAGCCATACCAACAACAGGACTCCACAGACCCCACTGTGGAGCAGTATTTGCCTGGGGTTTCTTTTCCTTGGTAGAAATCATTCCAGCTACAATTCTCGGGGTTAGCCTGTTGACTTCTTCAGATTCAGGCTCCATGGGTTAGAGGTGGATCTCCCCCTTGTTGTCTAGAATTACCAGCAGCTGCAGAGAGATTTTATGGATGATGATCACGAGCGAGCAGTGTCGGTGACTGCTCTGTCTGTCCAGCTCTTCACTGCGCCGACGCTGGTGAGTAGTGCTTACTTTTCCTCTGTCACTCATAGCTGGCACTCCTTGCCTCTTTTTGCCTTCTTAATAGAACTATGAGCGTTTGCAGAGTGATTATGTGACAGATGACCACGACAGAGAGTTTTCGGTCGCAGACCTCTCGGTTCAGATATTCACAGTTCCTTCACTTGTAAGTACTGAAAGACTAGAAGAACTTTCTTATTTTCTCTTGACAGAAGTAAGTCTTAAAATGAGAGAACTAAGACCTATGTACTCTTGAATAGAGTGATAACTTATTAATAGGCAATCAGTTTCAGACACCTTCACCCATACTAGAACACATCCTTGAACCTCTAAGTAATTCTAGGGGAAGCGTCATTTAAACTCAATCTGTAGTTTCTGATTGTTCTTTCTGGAGCTTTGAACTGAAGAATAACATTCAATCCATTGGTTCATCAACTTTACCCTTGACATTAGCAGCATGTTGTAAACCATCTCATAGTCTGAGACTTCTTCCTCCTCGATACCCCACAGAAGGAGAGGGGTGGCCACAGCAGTGGACTCACAATAACTGGGTGGCCTTTTACAAGCTTCACTGAGTCTCTGAAGCCTTCAGGATGTTTTAGCACATATAGTAACTGACAGCCATTTATTTCATTCAGCACATTGATTGAGCACCTGTTACTTACTGGGTAGACAAAACAGATGTAATCCTTGCTCTGCTGTAGTAGGAAAGTCTTGCAGAAGCAGTTAATTAAAGCTGTAATGATAGTTCTGAAGAAGGAGGTTTCCTTGAGAGAGAATCCTTTTCCTACAGTTGAGAAAAGGGTTCTCCAGGGCCTTTATGGGGGGGTGGGGAGGGTCCATGAGACGCCCTAGGGAAGGGGACCTGAGAAGTCTTCAGCTAGGGAGGAGCACCACCCATGTGAGAAACAGGGAAGCCACTAAGTGTGAAGATCCTTGAATGTGGCATAAAACTGCATGGGCTTAAGTGTTTTACGGTTAATTTACCAACAAGGTTTATTTTCCAGTTTTGTTTTGTTTTTTTAATTACTTTTTCACACCTCTAATCCCAACATTCTAGGAGGCTGATGCAGAATTTCAAGTTCAAGCCCAACTTGGGCAACTTAGTGACTGAGCTAGGCCCTGTCTCAGAAAATGAAAAAAAGAGCTAGGATATAGCTCAGTGCAAAGTTCTTGAATTTAATCCCCAGTACCAAGAAAAAAGATTTTCCCCATATTTGTTTTATGTTAAAGGATCTAATCTAAGGCCGGGGATTTAGCTCAGTGGTTTCACTGCCTGCTGCGCAAGCGCAAGGACCTGAGTTCAATCCCCGGTACCAAACAAACAAAAAAAAGGATCTAATCTAGTAATTTGTCCATTTTTAATGCTATTGTTGTAGGCCAAATTAGGGAATTTTGTGTTTATCTTATGATTATACCAGCTTATTGAAGAATTTAAACAATACTTAGAAATCAACCCATTTGTGCTTTTAAAATATTGTGCCATTTGTACTTTGGGAAAGAAATTGGAGAGAGGTAAAAGCAAATTGAGGAACCTATTTAAAAGCTAATGCAGTGATGCAGATATAAAGGGGTGGTAGCTTGAACTGGGGGCTGACAATGGATATAAGAGTTTTAAGAGGTATTTTTAGGTGGGTAAAGCTACAGAACTGGCCAGGTAGATTTGAAGAGAGGTTGGGTTTGGTGACTGACTCTGTTCTAGGATTGAAAGAAGCGTAAGATGACTATTGAAGTTTTTGACTTGTAACTAAAGTCTCAGATGTGTTGACTGTGGCTTTCTATTTTCCTCTGATGCAATTACTGCTCCAGAGGACTCGATGCTGAGTCCGTGGGGGCCTCTGACACTGTCTTGTCGTCTGTGGGTGGAATCTGCCTTGCATCGGTCAGCCTGACCCTGGGCTTCACAGATACCTCTGAACCCTAGGGTTGCCAAAATTCAGACACTGAAGTTGAGAATTCTTACACTTAAAGAAAATGCTTTAATAAGCAGTTAGCCTCTCAAGTAGGGCAAGGTATCAAGAAATAATGATCCTTTTCCAAAGGAAATGTAGGCGCTGCTCCACTCCCAACTGAGGGGCATTCGGGAAATGATCCTGGGTGAAGGGAGGACAGAGTGTGGGCTGAGTATCAATAAGGTCCTGCCTCTCTGTGATGTTACAGTGCTTTCTGGGAGCTCTGCTACTGTATTAATATCCTCGACAAGATCAGTAAAGTAAATGGGAGCAGCAAGAGTGAGAAGGAGCCAGACTGAGCCAGACACACATTAGATCCAGGGAACACCAGTAATATTGTGTTGTCGAAAATTGGCTTACGGGCCTGGGGATTTAGCTCAGTGGTTCTGCCACCTGCCTCACAAGCACAAGGTCCTGAGTTCGATCCCCAGTACCGCCAAAAAACATTGGCTTGGTTCTGTCTTCAGTTGCCTCTTAGAGATTAGTTAATATTATTAGAAGATGGTTAGCAGCCATTGGTACACCCAGTAATTTAAATACAGAAGAGGGCCAGGGATTTAGCTCAGTGGTTCCAGTGCCTGCTGCGCAAACACAAGGACCTGAGTTCGATCCCTGGTACCAAAAAAAAAAAAAAATAGAGTTAAAATGAATTTAAATACAGAAGATAGGGCCGGGGATTTAGCTCAGTGGTTCCGCTGCCTGCCTCGCAAACACAAGGTCCCAAGTTCGATCCCTGGTGCCCCCCAAAAATAAAATAAATACAGAAGATAGTTAATAAGAACCCCAGTAAGGCTGGCTGTGGTGGTGCACGCCTATAATCCCAGCACTCAGGAGGCTGAGGCAGGAGGATCACCGCGAGTTGGAGGCCAGCCTGGGCTACATACATAGCGAGTTTGAGGCCAGCCCAAACTACATAGCAAGATACTATCTCAAAAAAAACCAAAAAACAAAAACACAAAGAACCCCAGTAAGTGAACCCGAAGAATTGGCACTGTGCATTCATTTAGTGTCTTACACTGTGGATCTTTTTTTTTTTTTTGGTAGTGGGGATCAAACTCGAGACCTTGCGCCAGAACCACTGAGCTACATCACCGGCCCTGACTCTTACTGCTTCTACTGTTTCTCAGTTGCCTTTAGCCTAAAAGAATCCTTTTGTCCAAGTGACATGTTGGTTTCCCCTTGAACAGATCACGTGAGGCCAGTGGCCCCCATCAGTCGGGGATTGGGGCTGACTACAGTTGTCCAAGTGACACTCAGCTGCCGTACACACAGCTCTCCGGGGCTCCCAGCCAAGAGCGATGTTCCTGCCCGCTGTGGCCCCGAACGCCAGTCTCATTTCCTCACCGGGTGGGGCTGCCACATTTTCTCAGCTTTGTTCTTTTAGACGCTCTGCTCTTCTCAGACCCCCTTCCCATGGATCGTCAGATGTTTGAGGGAAAAGTGGGAAGAATTGGACTCAGCTCCAGCCCCCTGTTCTCACTAGGACCCTGGCCTCTCCAGCACCCAGCTCTGTGCAGGGCATCTTCCGTGCCTTCCGCCCCTGGCAGCAGTCAGATGTGACCCACTGCACATGGAGGTCACCTCCCACACAGCTCCCTTGTTCTGCAGTTTATCCCTGGAGTCCTTGTCCTTATCTCAGTTTTTCATGTTTTCAACCCCCCCCCCCGCCCCGCCACCCATTTTGTGCTTTTTGTGTTTTTTGTCCTTCTTGTAGAAGTATTGGTCAGCCTCAGGCTGTCCCATCCTGGCAGGAACAGAAGAGTCTTTGCAGTCTTTTGGAAACACTCCATTAGTAATTCTGACACACATCCCTGCTTTAAAAATAACTTGTCCTAGATATTAGTGAAGGGTTTTATAACTGGTGTCTTTGAATCTGAATTGCCTTAGAGTAGTTTAATCAGGAACAATAGTTGTAACTTAGGTGATGAGACTGTCATGTGTAGTTGTTTCAGTTTATTTTCTTAAATATGCTCTCAGTCACCATTAAAGCATGTAGTTGAACCAAAGCCTGTGCGTAGACCATTATTATTAATCAGTGAAATGTTTCAATCTTAGCAAAGAATTTACCCCATTTTGAACCTGCTATTAATGTGTAATGAGCCTTGAATTGCAAAATTGAATATAAATTACCAAAAAAAAAAAAAAAAAGAATAAAAACTGTAGTTAAAATAAACAGTACCAGGTGTGGTAGCACACACCTGTAATCTCAGCATTCTGTGGGAGGCTGAGTGAGGCAGGAAGATTGTAAGTTCAAGCCCAGCCAGAGCAACTAAACAACTTAGCAAAATAAAAAAATATATTTTAGGCCAGGGATTTAGCTCAGTGGTTTCACCACCTGCTGCACAAGCGCAAGGACCCAAGTTTGATCCCTGGTACCCAAAAAAAAAAACAAACCCAAATATATATATGTATATTTTAAAAGGCTATAAATGTAGCTCGGTGCACAGCCCTTGGGTTTAATCCCCAGTACCAAGGGGGGAAAAGGAAAAGATAAATAGTGGTAATTTTTGTTTTTTTTAAGCAGAGTGGATTGAAGGCATAAAAATTAAGGGGTTTTGGGGTTTTGTTTTGTTTTTTACAGTATGTGATAACAAGTACTAGGGTTATATTAGTTGGATATTTAATACTAAGTTGGATATTTAATACTATGAATTACCTTGAAAGGTTGGTAACACCCTGGGGATAAAATGATAAAGCCAATCACTTTGGGGTCTTTTTTATATCTACTTGTCTACTTATTACTTTGGAAAATATACTTCTTTAGTTATCTTTTTAAAAATAGAAATGTCAGCATAACTCCCATTTTCATGGGTCGCTCTGATAATTTTTTGGCACCTAGTCAAAAATATTAGACTCCAGTCCAAGTCTATGCAGTAGGTGAGCCTGCTCTTTGAACCTTGACCTGAAGCTGAATGTGCTACTATTAGCTTGTGGGCTGGGATGAGCTGAGCAGTAGAGCCCAGTGGTAGGGTGCTTGCCAAGTATGTGTGAGGCCCTAGGCCCTGCATCCAGTCACCAATGATGCGAAAGAAATGTTGAATTGTCTCTTCACCAAACTTCCTTTTACTGCCTGGTCTAAGTCTCGTGAGCCATTTCTATAATTTGTTCTTAGGCTCAGTGAAATTGAATCATACTCATTTAACTTCCTCAAATCAACTCATACAACAAACAAAAAGGAAAAACCTTTTACTCACTTATCACCTCTTGCCCCCTAAACTTGATCTTAGTCTTCACTAGAGTTTTTTTCCATTCAGATGAGTTTAATTGCCCTCAGTAAAGTCAGACAGACTAATTCTACTTTTTTTTTTTTTCTTTTGGTACCAGGGATCGAACTCAGGACCTTGTGTTTGCGAGGCACGTGGCAGCACCACTGAGCTAAATCCCTGACCCATAATTCTACTTTTAATGTCACATTTTACCCTGATACCTAAGATCATGATCAGAATGGGGAAGATCAAGGTGTTTGATGTTACATTGGAAAAAGACCCACATTTAGGTGGACATAAAGATTAGTAAGCCTCTTTTACGGGACACTGTAGTGATATCAGAGTTTATAATGTACATACTCAATAATTCTACTTTTAGGAAATTATTCGATAAATATTCTTATAACTACACAGTGGATATTTGTTGCAACATCTTTTGTACTATCTTAGACCTGGAAACAACACAAATGTCTTACCATTAAGGGCCTGGCTAAATAAAATATTATACAAAATATACTTAGTAACCATTAAAAAAAATGAGGGATATTTATTTTAAGTGATAGGAGATCTCTAAAAATATATCAAGTTTTAAAAGTACAGAACAGCATTTATAATGTGCTATCCTTGAGGGGAAAGTGATAGATACAATCATACATATTCATACTTGTATATTTAATATATACTTAACCTATGTATTGCACACGTGTGTGTATAAATATGGCCCATTTCTGGGAGAACGTGCAGGAAACTCCTAACAGTTTGTGTTCCAATGGGATATCTTAGGAGCTGGGAGACTGAATTTTTGCCTGTTAATTTGTTATTTACATATATTTGGTTTTCATTCCTTTTGGGGGGGTGGTTGAGACAGTGTCTCATTTTTGTAGTTCAGGCTGGCCTTGAACTCACTGTGTAGCCCAGATTGGCCTCAAATTCATGGCAATCCTCTTGCCTCAGCCTCCAGTGCTAGAATTACAGATGTGCACCACCACATCTGGCTCTGCTTTTCAAAAGTACATACATATATACACACACATAAAAATTTAAAGCATTAGATTTCAACTAGGGAGATAAAGAGGGGATATAGTCTCATATAGAGTTCTAGAATATCTGTGACATAAACCTCTGGGTCCTAGAATAATTACACCATACCATTATAGGCGTCTAAATGTCTCAGTTAAGGAAAATTTGCACCCTGGTTCATATCCCCCACCCTGAATTATTTTTGAGTAATGAGTCTTGGATCTGTCTTCTAACATTCTGGCATCTGATAAAATTGTTTGTTGCTCTAGGGCAGGGGATTTAGCTCAGTGGTTCTGCCGCCTTCCTCTCAACCGCGAAGACCAGAGTTCAATCCCCTGGTACCAAAAAAAAAATGGTTGCTTCATATATGTGGTAATTAGAGTAAATAATTATGATTTAGAAGTATCTAATGATGCATTTATGATATTATATTTGTGTTGAAAAAATTTCACTGCAAATGCTAAACAATGTTGCTGACTCTTAGTCCACAGTTTTTGATCACCACGCACTGTGATGTCCCTTGTTTCAGGCTCGAATGCTCATCACAGAGGAAAACCTGATGACCATTATCATTAAGACTTTCATGGATCATTTGAGACATCGAGATGGCCAGGGCAGATTTCAGTTTGAACGATATACTGCTTTACAAGCCTTCAAGTTCCGGAGAGTTCAGAGCCTTATTTTAGACCTCAAGTGAGTTTCTGCTAGTTTTCAAACCAGCTCCACTTGTGACTAACACATGGCAGTGCTTATGTGTTCATTGCTGCTGTTGTCTTGTCCAGGTACGTGTTGATTAGCAGACCAGCTGTGTGGTCAGACGAGCTGCGGCACAAGTTCCTAGAGGGGTTTGATGCCTTTTTGGAATTACTGAAATGCATGCAGGTACTTTTAAAATGACACCTTTTTCTTTTTATTTCATTTTAATTTTTCTTGTCGTTGAGCTGAACACTCTTCTCTCAATGCTTTTTTCCTCCATTTTGAGCACAAGTCTTCCAAAAGATCAATTTGGGTGGCTATGGTTTGGATCAAGAATTTCTTGTCTAATTATAGACTCTTAGATTTAGAGTGAATGAGATTCTTGTAAAAGTACTGGCATTTACTATTCACTTGATAGTAATTCTTTTGGTTACCATTAATATTCCTTTAGAGGTTGAAAGATTTAAGTCATTAGTTATTTGAGAAACTCTAGTTATAATTGTTGTTTTGTGGTACTAGGAATTGAACCCAAGGGTAATGCATAATAGGTGTTTTAGTCAACTTTCTCATTACTGGGACCAATAGTGAATGAGCACCCATACCCAGTATCCAGCCCAATTCCGAATATCCAGCACCCACAACTAAAGGAGGAGAGGTTTATTGTGGCTCACAGTTTCACTCCATAGTCGGCTGGCTCCAGGGTAGAAACAGCATGGTGGAATGACCTGGGACAAGGACAGCTGCCCATCCCACTCCACCCAGGAAGCAGAGAAAGAAGGGAGGAGTTGGGGACCCTCCGAGGTGATAGCACTAGTGGCCCACCTCCAGTCAGGCCCCACCTCCCAACAGCACAGTCAGCTCTGAACTCATCAATGGGTGAATCCACTGATGAGCACAGCGCCCCCAGGATCCAGTCACCTTCCACACGCATGAGAATCTGGGGAAATTTAGATCTAAACCACAACAACAGGCAACCCTTCTACCACTGACCTACATCCGAGCCCCTGGATGTCTTGTTACTTTTTATTTAATGTCTCCATATTTTTTCTCTCCCTTGGTGTAATATTTTTATAATACATGGTAAAACTTTTCCTTGTTTAATTCTCTTTTTCAGAAACTTAACCTATATACAAAACAGAATCTAGAAGTAGAAATCAACAAATATTTTTAACCAGTTTTAAATTTAAGAATATAAGAATCATCTCTGAAAAATTGAGCAAGTACAATTAGCAGCCTTTTAGTAGCCATCTGGCTTTCTTAAGAAAAGAAATAAAGTAGACCCATCTTTTTGTGTGTGGGGTGGTGGGACAAGGTCTCTCTATGTAGTCCAGGCTGACCTTGCACTCAGTGTTGCCCAGGCTGGCCTCGAGTCCAAGGTGATCCTCCAGCCTCCACCTCAGGCTCGCCAAGTGCTAGAATTGCAGCATGTACCACCATGCCCAGCAGTAGACACACAATGTAAAAAGCTATGCCTAGCTGGGCACAGTGGCACACGCCTATGATCCCAACACTCAGATGGCCATGAGTTTGAGGCCAGCCTGAACTACAAAGCAAGACCTTGTCTTTAAAAAAAAAATCATAATGACAATAAAATTTTCACTTTTCTTTAGGGAATGGATCCAATCACACGACAAGTAGGACAGCATATTGAAATGGAGCCAGAGTGGGAAGCAGCCTTCACACTACAAATGAAACTAACACACATCATCTCTATGGTGCAGGACTGGTGTGCTTCAGATGTGAGTTTCTTCTAAGGGTAGGATATGAGGGGAAAGGAAGAGAGGGGATGCACAGAATTCTACGTACAATTTGAAGAGATTTGGAGAAAATAGTTTTATAGCCTTGCTCAGATAATAGTATATTTTCCCTTTCCTCCTGTAAATTCAGTAAAGAACTTAAAATTCTTACAAAATTCTTAAAAGCCTTACCAAAAAAACTTGAAAAATAGAGGAGAAAATAATCTACACCCTTGCTTCCCTATGTATCTTCATTTTTTCCATAGGCCTTTCTAGACTCTGAGCATATAAAAATAAATTATAAGTTTATCCCAAAATAAAGTTGTATTATTGGTCCCTTTGCCCTGTATCATGAAAGAGAGGGAACAGGAGCTAGTTTTAAATAAATGTTTAAAATGAAATTGCAAGCTTGATAATACATCTAGCTTTACTGATGAGAGGTGCCATTCACTAGGACAGGGGACACTGGAAGAGGGACCAAATAGGGGAGGGAGGATTGAGTTTGGTTTCACCCATATTTTATGTACTTATTCATTACCAGATTTGAGGTGCTTGTTCAGTGTAGTAGGAACTCGGTCTTTTGAGTAACTTATAGAAAAACCCTCTTTTTTTTTTTTTTTAGGAAAAAGTGTTAATTGAAGCTTACAAGAAATGCCTCGGTGTATTGATGCAATGTCATGGTGGTTTTACTGATGGTGAACAGCCAATCACACTAAGTATTTGTGGACACTCAGTGGAAACTATCAGATACTGCGTTTCCCAAGAAAAAGTTAGCATTCACCTCCCAGTTTCTCGCTTGCTTGCAGGTAAAGCATTTCCCCTAAAACAGAACCCTACAGTTGTCTTAAATCAGTGTTTGTGGTGGCCGATATGTATGAATACCTACTGTGTGCCAGGCATTATTCATTGAGTTTAGTCCCTAAGCTCAAGAGGCTTTGATCCTACACTGGAAGTACTGAAGAATTTTAATTTTGAGGTCATGATCAGTACAGAGGCCAGGCGTGGTGGTGCTCGCCTGTTATCCCAATATTCTTGGAGGCTGAGGCAAGATTGCCAAGTTCAAGCCCAGCCTAGGCACTTGAGTGATTTAGTGAGACTCAGTCTCGCAATAAAAAAGAGCTGGGTGTGTGGCTCAATGCAAAAGCCCTTGGTTCAATTGTCAATACCCCAAAGAAAAAAAGCTCAGACCATGAATCTGGGACTAGTTCCTTATTGAGTTGCCAGAAGAATCCCTGCCACTGTGCTTAGATGGGAACAGTCTACTGGCCAGTGGAGTGACTCTTGCTTGGCGTAACACGTATCCATTGTGTGATGCTTCATAGCTGCTCATGCTGTGTTCATATAGCCAGTGTTGACTTCTGAGTGTCACCAGTGTACATTGGGATATGTAATTCAAACCAGTTCTAGGCCGGGGATTTAGCTCAGTGGTTCCGCTGCCTGCCTCACAAGCATAAGGACCCAAGTTTGATCCCCGGTACCAAACAAACAAACCTGTTCTGATTGTGCCTTTGATATAGAGATGCATTAGGACAGCCATTACAAAACTTCATTTGTGGACACAGTTCATTTTATATCTTCATTTGCAACCTGATAGGTTCCCACAGATGATTTTTTTAAAAGTCACATAATAAAGTCAAGTGAATATTTAGGGTTTTTTCAAAATTACTTTAACTTACACAAATACCGTTTTTGTTTATTTGCTCTTTCATGCAGGTTTACACGTATTATTAAGCAGAAGTGAAGTGGCATATAAATTTCCAGAGCTCCTACCTCTAGTAAGTGGTTCTGAGATTTTAAAGTGAATGTCTATTTATTATGTTCCTTGTATTGAAAATCAAATTGAAACAACTTACTCTTGAGAAACAAAACCAGAACTGGGGATTTAACACAGTGGCACCGTGCCTGCCTCGAAAGTGGAAGGTCCTGAGTTCGATCCCCAGTACTGGGAAAAATTAAAAACAAGGGGGGGGGGGTGCGTGCGTGCGTGCGTGTGTTTAGAGAAGGATTTACTTTAAGGAATTGCCCTGTGTGGTATGAGGGGTGCTGGTGAGTCTGGAGTCTGCAGTATGCAAGGCACCGCCACTCAGCAGCCTGGAGAGACCTGTGGAGAATTGACATCGCAGCCTCAAGTACAAAGGCAGTCATGGGGGCAGATTTCCCTCACCCTTTACCACCTCAGTCTTTTTCTCTTAAGACCTTCAACTGAATTCATGAGACCCATTCACTTTATGGAGGCTACTTTGCCTTCCTCAAAGTCTTCTAAAATGTTATTATTATTAAGTTATTCATGGTGACACACGCCTGTAATCCCAGCACTCAGGCTGAGGCAGGAGGATTGCTGCAGGTTCGAGGGGGAAAAAATGTTACACATACAAGTAGTGCCTTGGTTCACAACTTAATTCTTTTCACGATTCTGGTCACAAACTGAATTGCTTACAAACTGGATTAAATTCAGTGGTTAGGTTCATTGTTGATTTTATGGGGAAATTTGATTCAGTTCATGAACAATTCAGCTTTGTGACCAGAATCATAGAATTACATTTGTGAACCAATGTACCATTGTATTAAAAATTATCTTAATGACAACATCTAGACACCTACTCTGGTATTGACCATAAGCTGGATATCATAGCCTAGCTAAGTTGGCACAAAATTAATGATCACCCAAAAGTATCTTAAAATAATTTTAAATTATCTTTTTTTTTCTTAAATTCTTTTATTGGTACATTTTAGGTATACTATCCTTTTTTTTTTTTTTTTTTGTACCAAGAATCTAACTCAGGCCCTCGTGCTTGCCAGGCAGGCACCATGCTGCTGAGCTACATCCCTGAACCCTCTTAAAATAACCTTAATCTGTGTATTATAAAAGCTTTCATTCCTGTTAACCAACCTACTTTATAGAGTTGTGTTTTTTATGGTATTTTATTTTCTGCTTACTATACAGAGTGAACTTAGTCCACCCATGTTAATAGAACACCCTCTGAGGTGTCTTGTTTTATGTGCCCAAGTACACGCTGGAATGTGGAGGAGAAATGGGTTCTCACTAGTAAATCAGGTAGGTATTCTTTTAATTCTGTGGAGAGTTTTCATTCCATTTCATTGACTTCTATGAAGGTTTTCATGGACACATTGAAAATTTAGTATCTATATTAAAATTGTTTGAAAAGATTAATAGTAAACCAAAAAAAGTTTCTTAGAGCTTTTATTTATAAGCTGTCAAGAAATAATATTGAAAGTAGAAATGAATGACAGTCTTAACTTTCATTTGAAATAATTCTTTAGAATGAAGTTGGATAGTGAAAAACAAAATTCTAGATTACATCTACTTAAATCGGGCTAAAAGACAGCTAAAGTTGAGGTTTTGCATTTTAAACCTTATCAGGACTTGGTTACGGATTTTTTTCCCTACTTTTAGAGGCTCTAAACTTTTCTGAAATACCCATCTTTTGTTGAGAGATCCAAAAAGTTGACTGTAAAGTGTAAACCAAGCATACTGTGACTCCTAGTAGAAATCTATATGAAGATAGTGTTAGCTTTTTGGGAATCCCTCTCTCTCTCTCTCTCTCTCTCTCTCTCTCTCTCTCTCTCTCTCTCTCTCTCTCTCTCTC